AGTTAGCCATCAAAAGCACTGTAGGACACTTGACTCAGTGGCCACTCAGCTTCTCTCCATCCCAGCCACACAAATGATCATTGCACAACTTCAATCTAATGAGAGGGACAATGAGGTGGCCTTTCTATCCTTCTTCATCAACTGTACCACATTTCCAATTTTTTTTAATATAAATATTCTGCCAGAGCTGTATAGCTATAAACCATGGAATAACCCCATCTCCTAAGAATTGAAAATGAAGAATTTCATGGTAAGTGTGAAAAGTCTGTAACATTATAAACCAGGAATTAATAAGAAGCAGTGTAAAGGGTATAAAGAGATGGACTAATCATGTGGAAGAATAAGAATGACCCAATAGATAGCCCATGTGCTCCATTGGCAGCCTCAGGATGTCAAAAGTAAGTCAGGAAGGCCCCCAGCATCACCTTGATGGGAGATACCTTGAGGTGAACTTACAGGAAGACTTTAACAAGAAATAGATGGGTTGTAAATATCCACCATGATGAGATGCATTGAAGAACTCTGCCAACTAGTATCTGAGTCTTCATCTGTTTCACGTTCTTTGTTATTTGAGAAATCCTTCAACTCTTTCCCTTCCCGGCTCCTCTCCCATTAATAATTTAGTGGCCCTTCCTAAGGAAATGGAATTTCCAGTCGATTGTTTCCATAGCCACCGTCTCATCCAGATCAGAGCTGTCTGACTGCCTTCTTCTAAAAGCACATGCTGCCCTTCCAACTATAAAACAACTTGACAAAAAATGATCTAATCAAACTTAACAAAGAAGCACGAGATTGTATCAGTGCCAACACCAAAGGTTGGGTAGAGGAAAAGGGGGCATGAGTATACCTAGGGCTATGTGTCCTCTTGAGTTTCAAGTTCTGAACATTTTAGATAGGGACTGGACTTGTGATTCATTTGATGTAAGGAGTTGCTGGTGAGGAACTTCCTCTACCAATGCAGGTTGTTGCTACCTTTTCTCCTAATTTGCCTATGTCATCACCCTTTATGTCTAAATCAGGTACCCATTTTGACTTTTTCTTGCTGTACAGTGTGAGATGTTGGTCTATGCCTAGCTTCTGCCAAACTGCTTTCCATTTTCCCAGCACAATTTTTGTCAGATAGTGAGTTCTTTCCCCAAAGGCTTGGATCTTTTGGTTTACCAAACATTAGACTATGATGGTCCTTTACTACTGTGTATTGTGTACCTAATCTATTCACTGATCCACCATTCTATTTCTTAGCCAGTACCAGATTGTTTTGATGATTACCAATTTGGAATATACTCTGAAATCTTGTCCAGCACTCTCCATCTCATGTAGATGGGGTCTGATCCTGATATCATAGCCTGAGTCTCTACTTCTACAGCTGATTTTCTAACATGTCTCACAGCCCCTTGGGTTTGATCTAGCATTTGTGCCTACTATGTGCTAGGCACTATGCTAAGCATTTTTACAATATTTTTCATTTGATCCTCACACCAAACCTGGGAGATGGGTGCTATTAGTATTCCAATTTTATAGATGAGGGAACTGATAAACAGAGATTAAGTTCAAGGTCACAAAACCAGTATCTAAGGCTGGACTTGAACTCAGCAGCCTTCCTGACTCCAGGCCCAGCACTCCATCCACTCTGCCATCAGTTGCCTCTAGAGAGGGTTGTATATGAAATTGAACTTGTATTATATACAGTTTGGGCTTTTTTTTAATGCATATTGAATTTAACAGGATAATAACAAATACATAATAAAAAAAACTGCCTTTTTTGTTTTCTGAATTTACTTTTCTGTGTATTTTTAAATGTTTCATTGACACACTTTTTTTTTACATCACTATCACTACTACCAAATCCCACCCACCTTTAACTTCTCTCCCCCAAAAAAGAAGCTGTCACTGGTAATAAATATAGTCAAGCAAAAAATTTACACATTGGTAATCTCATAAAATATGTATTGTATTCTGCACCTCAACTTCATCACCTCTCTGCTGAAGGTACTTTTCATCCCGCTTTATGGCTATAGGTGGGGGGAATCTTACCTAGGGAGACACGAGGCATGGAATGAAATGCCTAGGTCATGGACATGGGGAATAGTAACAGGATGGGAAGATTATAACCAAAGAGATCAACAAAACTTTGGGTGCCATGGTCTTCAGGGCAGGAGCAGGAAGGGGTGTTAGCCTGTTTCTTCCTTTGGAGAGGCCACCTCCAGCAAGCTCTCCATCACTCCTCCTCATTAATATATGGACACTTGAGTCCCTGTCATCTTTACCAATCAGATTCTTGGTGAGCGAGTAAAAGTCTACCTAGCTTTCTTCTCCACTCTCAAATTTGCCTCTGTAAAGTCTGGAGTACAAGTCAGTGTTATACTCATTCTTTCATGAACTCTAAGAGGTCACAGTAACTGCTTCTCAAGGTTTTCCTCATTTCTTCTTCATCAACCATTTCCTCCTTTTATTGAAACAGGTTCAGAATATTAGTGACATGCTTCACTTCTGAAAAATGAAATTACCATCAAGGAAAGTAAAAAATGTATTGGTAGCTCTGCTTTTCAGCAGAGAGAGATCTGCCAGATGTCAGCTACTTGGATCCCTCACCACAAGGATACTTTAACTATATGATAGCCTTTGATATGTATGAGGATTGATATGATCCAGTTCCTTCAGCTGGCCAGGAAACCTGTAACATGCTCTCCACCAAGTTCCACCTTCTTTGAAACTCACCCAAATGCCTTCCCTCCTCAGGTTCATGGATTTCCACATAAATGTCCATCTTCTTCATCTACAATGCTACCACACTACCTATGCTAACTAATCTTTCCCTCAGAATAAAGTGAACCCTTCCAATTCTTGTCATTAATCACTCACACTAAGGCTCAATAATACCAGTGATATCAAACTTCTCCCCTCAAATTAAGATTTCTGGTTCATTTTGTTAAACTCTGTCCCACATTGGTGAAAAGCCATCTGAAATGATGAGTGCTATTTTTGCTTCTCTTTGCAATCATGGTCTCCTCTGAATACTATACTATATAATACATACTATACTAGTACCTCTACTATAATTCTTCCCCTTTGTCAAACCTGGATAGCTCAATGACTTAATAGCTTATCTCTGGGCAATTCTTTTCTTCCTCCTTTTCCAGTTTAAAGTTCTGCTAGTAGGTCAGTGAGTAAACATTTGTTAAGGATCTACTATGTGACAGGCACAGTGCTAAACTCTAGGAAACGAAGAAAAGCAAGAAAACAAACAGTCCATGTTCTCAAGGAGCTTACATTCTAATGGTGAAGAAAACATGCAAACAACTACATTCATACAAGATATATATACAGGATAAATTGGAGGTAATCAACAGACGGGAGGCACTAGCATTAAGGGAGATTAGGAAAGGCTTTTGTAATCATTTTGGAGAGCAATTAGGAACTCTGCCCAAAGGGCTATAAAAATGTGCATGCCCTTTGACCCAACAATAGCACTTATAGGGCTATATCCCAAAGAGGTCATACAAATGTGAAAAGGACCCACATGTACAAAAATATTTATAGCAGCTCTTTTTGTGGGGGCAAAGAATTGAAAATTGAGAGGATGCCCATCTATTGGGGAATGGCTGAACAAGTTGTGGTATATGAATGTAATGGAATACTATTGTGATATAAAAAATGATGAGTAGGCTGACTTCAGAAAAACCTGAAAAGACTTGTATGGTCTGATGCTGAGTGAAGTGAGCAGAACCAAGAAGACTTTGTACACAATAACAGCCACGTTATGCAATGACTAATATTGATAGACTTAACCCTTCTCAGCAAGACAAGGATCTAAGATATCTCCAAAGGTTTTATGATGGAAAATGCTATCCACATCCAGAGAAATAACTATGGAGTTTGAAGCATAGTATTTGCTATTTTTTCTCTTCTGTTGGGTTTTGTTTCCTCTTTCTGGTGGTTCCTCCTATTGGTTCTAATTCTTACTTACAACATCACTAATGTGAAAATATGTTTAATAGGAATGTATATGTATAGCCTATATCAGATTGCATGCCACCTTGAAGAAGGAGGGGGAGAAAAATTAAAAACTTAAAAGCTTATGGAAGTGATTGTTGATAATTCAAAATAAATTAATTAAAATTAAAAAATCAGAAAGGCTTTTGTAGAAGATGGGATTTTAGCTGAGACTTCAAGGAAGTCGGGGGCTAGGCGACAGACATGAGGAGGGAGAGGATGCTAGCTGTGCCTTTCCTCATCTGGAAAATGGAGGTGGGGCTTGGACTCAATGGCCTCTAAAACTCTTCCAGCTCTAAAACAGAGATTCTATGGTACAAGACACACACTGCTGGAGTTAGAGAGTACCAGAAAGTGCTGCCACTTCCTTGGGCAATTCACTTAAACTCTCAAAGCCCTGGTGTACTCCTCTGTAAAACAAGTGGGTTGGACTAGATAATATCGATGTCCTTCTCAACTCTAAATCTGTTCCTAAGAATTATTTTGGATCTTTCATCTCTTCCAGTTCTCCTAGATAGGCCTTTGCCCCCTGTGATAAGCTGGAGAACAAAGAGATATCTTTCTAGTCCTTGTACCTTGTTCTCCAATAAGCAAACCAATTTGCATTTACTGCATATTTAATTATTGATAGTTTATGGCAAAAGCAAAAACATCAAATTATCTCTTGAGGTCATAGACCAGTTCCCTTGCACTCCCTCCATATAGGCTACCATGGCTATAATTTGTAGGTTCCCCTAAGTTTTCCAATCTCTAACCAAATGTTCGCTATGCCTCTTTACAAGCTGAGGGCTCTGTGACCACTGGTTCTGGAGTCCAGGCTCTTCCAGCCTGTCAAAGTTCCCATCTCCTACATTCCTTCTTCCAGGTTCCTACAGTCCTAGGTATGGATAATCAATTAGTTATCAGTAAATCCAAGCCAATGGCTCTAATTGTCCACAATAGAAATTGTAACGTCAGTCAGATATTACTGAGAAGGCCAGTGGGAGGGAAATGCCAAGTTCACTCACCAGGTTTTTTTGTCCTTTCCACCAATTTCTGGTTTACTCTATGGATGCTTGTCCGAAGACTCTCAGCTGAGGTACTTCCTTTTGCAGACAAAGAATCTAACAAAAAAGGAGAACAGAATTGTAAAAATAGTGTCATAAAGGCTAAAGCCTAAAATGAGCAAAGGCTTGAAAAAAATGCTCAAGTGCAACAAAAAGGATGTTTATAGCTGTGAAGAGAGATGAAGTATCACATCTGAAAGACAGCAAGCAAGTCAGTCCGGCTGGATCACAGAGTGCATGAAGGAATCATTGTTCAGTCTTTTTTCAGTCATGTCTGACTCTTTACAACCCCATTTGGGATTTTCTTGGCAAAGATACTGGTGTGGTTTGCCATTTCCTTCTCCAGCTCATTTTGGTGATGAGGAAACTGAGTCATAGGTTAAGTGACTTGCCCAGGGTTACACAGCTAATAAGCATCTGAGGCCAGATTTAAACTCAAGAAGACTCATCCTCCTGATTCCAAGCCCAGCACTCTATCCACTGTGTGTGTCACCTAGAACACTGTGTGAAGGTGATTAATGGAATATCTCTTCGGCATCTGCGTGAACAGATTAATGAAGGGAGAGGCCAGAGGCAGGGAGGCCAATTGAGAAGATATTGCAATAGCACAGAAGAGACTTAATAAGGGCTCAAATGAGGCTGCTTCTTTATGAGTGGATGGTGAATGAGGAGAAAGGGCCAGATACAAGGCACATCAGAGGAGTGATAAGAGGAGTCAAGGGAGAGTGAACAGTCTAAAATGACTCTGAATTTGCAAACTTGAGTGAAGGATTGGGGGTAGGGGTAAATAATGAGTTATCTCTTAGACATGGTGAGTTTGAGATGTCTATGGGACTTAGTATTGAGTTGTTTCAGTCATGCCCAACTCTCCTCATAACCCCATTTGGGGTTTTCTTGGCAATGATACTGGAGCATTTTGCCATTTGCTTCTCCAGGTTGTTTTATAGATGAGGAAACTGAGGCAAACAGGGTTAAGTGATGTCTAAGGTTGGATTTGAGCTTGGGTCCTCCTGACTACAGGTGGAGACCTCTATCCACTCCACTTAGCTGCCTATGGGACAGTCCCTTGGAAACTGTGATGAGGGACTGGAGATGAGAAGATAGACTAGGGTTGAATGTATAGATCTGGGAGTCATCTCCTTAGAGACTGTAATTGAATCCATGGGATCTGACAAGATCACCAAGATAGAATGTATGGAGCAAAAAGAAAAGGCCGAGGCTAAAACCTCAGGGACGTACCTGCAGTTAGGAGGTGGTGGCTTGGATGATATTCCAGCAAAGGACACTGAGAAAGAATGGTCTGACAGAGGGGAGAATCAAAAGAAAGCAGAGTCACGAAAACACAGTCAGGAGAGTTTATCTAGGAAGAGAGGGTCAGATGCTGCGGAGAGATCAAAAAGAATGATGACTGAGAAAAAGGAATTAAGCAAATTAAGATAGCATGGAATAGTTTATCTGTCAGATTTATGGATAAGGGAAGGACCAAAGAATATATGGAGAGCATTGCACATGTAAAATAGATAATTTTGATTATATAAAATTTGAAAGTTTTTGGACAAACAAAACCGAGCAACAAAAATTATAAGGAAAGCAGAAAACTAGGGGGGGGAAATTTGCGGCAAGTATGTCTGATAAAGGCCTCATTTCTCAAATATATAGAGAGAACTGAGTCAAATTTATAAAAATACAAATCGTTCTCCAATTGATAAATGGTCAAAGGATAAGAACAAGTAGTTTTCAGACAAAGAAATTAAAGCTATCTATGGTCATATGAAAATGTGCTCTAACTTACTACTAGTCAGAGAAATGCAAATTAAAACAACTCTGAAATACCACCTCATACCAATCAGATTGGCTAACAAGACAAAAAAGGAAAATGTTGGATGTTGGAGGGTATGTGGGAAAACTGGACACTAATGCATTGTTGATAGAGTTGTAAACTGATCCAATCATTCTAGAGAGCAATTTGGAACTACACCCAAAGGGCTACAAAAATGTGCATATCTTTTGACCCAGCAATACCACTGCTAGATCTATATCCCAAAGACAACCAAAAAAAGGGGAAAGGACCTATTTGTACAAAAATATTTATAGCTGCTCTTTTTTGTGGTGGCTAAGAATTGGAAATCAAAAGGATATCCATCAATTAGGGAATGGCTAAACAAGCTGATTGTAATGGAATACTATTGCGCTATAAAAATGATAAGCAGGATGATTTCAGAAAAACCTGCAAAGACTTACATGAACTAATGCATAGTGAAGTGAACAGAACCGGGAAAATGTTGTACACTTTAACGTTAATATTGTTCCATGAAGAACTGTGAATGACTTAGCTATTCTCAGTAATAACAACGATCCAAGACAATCCCAAAGGACTAATGATGAAACATACTATCTCCCTCCAGAGAAAGAACTGATACTGATTGAACACAGACTGGAGCATGCTATTTTTCACTTTCTTTTTTTTTCTTTTATTTGAGTCTTCTTGTACAAAATTACTAAAATGGAAACATTTTATATAATTGCACATGTTATAATCTATGTCTGATTGTTTATCATCTCAAAGAGGGAGGGAGGGACAGAATTTGGAATTCAAAACTTTAAATAAAAATGTAAAAAAAAAAAAGGAAAAACAAAATCAGCTATGGGATATAAGTGCTCCTTTGGATTTACTATGATTTTCTATTTTGACTATCATCCCCTTGGTAGATGTTGGCCTCCACATAATTTTAGCCTTGACATTTTGACTAGTACCTTTCATCACATGACACTTTTTTTCCTGGAACATGTAAGTTAAATGCACTGCATCTCTGGCATTCTAATCCATAAAACCTCCTTGTATGTAATATTTAAGAGGAAATTTTAATCTTCAGTCTCTGTAGCTTTCCCCCATTAACTTGGATATCAATGTGGTTTTTTTTTTCCTCTGAGAAATAATCTTGCAGAGCATATGATTGGGTCACCAAAATTTCACCCTCTCTGGCATTTGCCCTTTTGATTTGTTAATCCTCCTCTTGAGGGCAGGTGTCACCAAATGATCTGAGAAAATGACACCACAACATGCCAGCACTCTTACCTCGAGGTACTACAGTGTCAGAGCCAAGTAGGTGGCAGTGGGATATCATATATAGAGGCAAAACCTACTCTGATCTATGTTGCCCATTTTTTTTCTTGGTCTAGACCTGTGATTTCATCCACCCATCAATTCAAATCAGGTTTCTAGCTGTAATTTATAGTCTTAGAGAATGCCCTGGGAACAATGATTGATTAAGTTACTTGTCCAAGGTCAGTACATAATTTGTATCAGGGGCAGGGCTTGAATCCAGGTTTTCCTGACTCTATGGTCTGCCTTCTATCTTGACACCTGCGTCTCTACCTTCTTTTGGCATCCATCATTTCATCAGGAAGATGGGATTCCATCCCCAGACCCTCGCAGGAACTAGATTTGGAGATGTCCTCACCCTAAAACCTATGCCATGTCTAAATGTCCTGCCTATTCTTCCCTGAATCACCAAATGATTTTTTAAAATGACTGCCTCAGACCTCTGTAACTTGAGACACCAGGCCTTTCGCCTCCATGACTTCATCCAAGGACTTGGACAGCGGGGCCCAAACAGGAGCCAAGTATATGTTCAACTTGTAAGTCAATGTCATCTCACACCACCTTGGTTAGAAGCAAAGGAATTGGAACTGAGGAGGAGTTCAGTCAGGCCCCTAGACACCTAATCATCAGTTATTCATGGACTCAAATAATTACTTTTTCTGATGTTTTATTTTTGGGGTTTTTTTTCCTGGTATTTGAAAATGGATTAGATTGACACTGTCTTCCATCATCACCAGACAAAGATTGGGAGCCATGTCTGGCAGAATCCTATCTTCTCCTTCTCATTGATCCCTAGGATTTAGCCCCCATCTATTGAAGTGAACTTCTGCCCTTTCCCTGTTATTACCTCCTATTCTCTCATCCCCATCTTGCTCAGTCCTACCTCTTCCCAGTCTCTATCCTCTTCTTCCCTTCCCTTATATTGTACCACCTTGAATATCCATTTTTTCATTAACAAACTTTCCAGAAATCATCCTGAAGGGATGTCAGACACACACAATTCAACCCTTTTATTTTAGAGATGGGAGGAAACAGAGTCTCAGGATAACTGAGTGGCTTGCCTAAGGTCACAAAGGTAGTGTCAGGAATAGGATTTGAACCTATGTTCTCTGATTCTAGAACAATGCTCTTTCCACTGTACCACTTCATCCCAGAACCTTTCCTCTCACATTCATCGATTTTTTTTTTTTTTTGCATTCAGGAAAACCTGGATTCTTCCTAAATACACAGTATCTCTGACCCACCTTCTCCAGTACCGGATGTTCTTTCTTTCATTCTCCATGAGACACTATTTCACCCTATTTCCACAAAACCCATGGACACCATATGTCTCTGATACGATAATCTACCAGTCTCTAGGTCATTCTTCTCCTCGTTCACCTCCAAGTTGTACTGTGGACCTCCTCTACCATGCCTCAGCTCTTCATCGCAAAACCTCTTATTGTTGTTCAGTTGTCTCAGTCACGTCCAACTCTTCGTGATCCCATCTGGGGTTTGCTTGGCAAAGATTCCAAAATGGTTTGTCATTTCCTTTTCTGGTCTTTGAAGAACAGATGACCTTTCCTCTTGACAATGTCAACCCCTCTTGTGTGTCTTAATTTCATTTCCCCCCCAAAAAAAGAAATGACTTGATCATTCTCACCCTCTATCTATCATCTTTTACCCTTTTATGATCTACTGTCTCCTTTCTCAACTGCTACAAACATGACCCGGTCTTCCCGTATCCTTACAAAACCTTTATTTGGCTCTATCAATGCATCAAGCTATCATACCGTATTTCTTCGTTCTTGTATAATTGATCTCTTAAAAGTCATCAGCATTTACTACCTCTACTTTCTCAACTCCAGAAAACTTGTCACTCTTCTTGCAATCTAGTTTCTGACTCTACTACTTAGGAGAAACTTCACTTCGAGGTTACCAATCACCTCAACTGCCTTATCTGACGCTCTTTTCT